GATATATATCAAGTGACTTAATGAAGATCAAATACTTGTTAGTGAGTAGGTAGTTTCACCTCGAAAATCTCAGACCAGGTCCAGAGATTTTCTTGCACTTTTCTGATCAGCAGGAACAGCCATGTCCCTAGAACTTTGAGAAATCTCAAGTTGGAAGGGCTTGGTAGTACTAGTTCAGTTCTTACCAGGTGTGTGAGTTTCCTCAAAGTCCTAAGACAGGTGTTTTCTATGTTCTGGAGACTGGGGAGCGGTTACTTATGGAGTGAGTCAATTCCATTTTATTTTATTTTTATTTTATTATTAATTCTCATCTGAGGATATTTTCTCCATTGATTTTTAGGCAGAATGGAACAGAAGGGGAGAGACACACAGAGCAAAACATCGATGTGAAAGAGACACATGGGTTGGTTGCCTCCCGCATGCACGCCAACCAGTATGTGCCCTTGATCAGTATAAAACCTGGGAGCCTTCCATCTGTGAGCTGATATTCCAACCACTGAGCCAAACCGGCTATGTATCAATTCCATTTTAAACAGCTCTGACTCTCTAAGATGTAACTTCCCGCTTCTTTTGCCCTTGTTCATCCTTGTGGGCTGCATAGGAATGCATTTTCCATACAGTGGTACATGTCTTGTTCCAGCCACATGTCCAGCATTCTTACTTGCTTCTCATGTGTCAGTGAAGAAAGCAGGCATTTTAGTTTCAGGAAGACCTGGATTCAAATTCCCTCTCATCTGTTGTTGATCTTGGAAAGTTCCCTTCATTATCTTAGGCTCCTTCTTGAGAACAGTGTCTGGCATTTAATGTGTTGTTATTTTATTTTGTTTAATTTAAAAAAATATATATTTTATTGATTTTTTACAGAGAGGAAGAGAGAGAGTCAGAGAGTTAGAAACATTGATGAGAGAGAATCATCAATCAACTGCCTCCTGCATATGCCCCTCTGGGGATGTGCCCAAACCAAGGCACATGCCCTTGACAGGAACCAAACCTGGGACCCTTCAGTCCGCAGGCCAGTGCTCTATCCACTGAGCCAAACCGGTTTCAGCCTGTTATTTTATTTTTATTAGATTTTAAGTCTCTAAAATATTTTGGTTAATTTTTCTGATAATCAAGTTATTATCCTTTGATTCTTTGAGTAATCTATATTACCAAAAGGGTAATATGCTAATTAGACTGGGTTGACCGACCTTCTTCTGGACATCCGATTTCCTTCCAGATAAAGCCATGGTGGTGGAGGCTGAGGCAGAGAAGGCAGTTGGGGGTGAGATCAGGCTGGCAGGGGAGGGAAGTTAGGGGCAATGAGGCAGACAGAGGCAGTTAGGGGTGATCAGGCAGGCAGGTGAGCAGTTAGGAGCCAGCGGTCCCAGATCAAAAGAGGGATGTCCAATTGCTGGTTTAGGCCCGATCCCTGTGGGTCCTCCAAGGGGTCCCCGATTGGAGAGGGTTCAGGCTGGGCTAAGGGAACCCCCTAAAGCACAAATTTTGTGCACAGGGCCACTAGTGTCCTTTATAAAATGTGTTGCTCAGTAGTGACCATGCTACTGAATAGACCTCAGTGGAGTGAGGTAATCAACTTGTATAGATGCCATTTTAATATTAACCCAAATCAAATTAGCTTTTTTGGAAGGTGTATACATCTGAAAATCCCAGTTTCCCCTCTCACATATTACTATCAAATTACCCCATATAGTTTGCTAATATATTGTTTTCATCATTTTATATTTCTACTTGAGTTTAAATTCTTATCTGTGCTTCAGTTGCTATATTAGAGCTACAGCTAATCTATACTAATAAAAGAGAAATATGCAAACTGACTGTATCTCCACAACACCCACCAGCCAATCAGGAATGAATATGCAAATCAACCCAACAAACATGGCGGATAATTTGCATATGCAGGCATGGAGCAAAGACTGAAGACTAAAGAGGCTTGGCTTCTCGGTTGCGGCTGGAGTGAAGCCCTGGGTCCCGGGTGCCAGAGTAAAACTAGTGCCCGGAGCCAGGGGAAGGAAAGCCTATTGCATGAATCATTGTGCAACAGGCCTCTAGTACTCTATGATTTCTCAGCAATTTTATATATGCAGACTCATTTAAATCCTCAGAATTACCCTGGGAGTCATACATTGCCTTCATTATTATGATTTGGAAATAGAGGCTGGAGGTGTGACTTGCTCAAGGTCAAGCAGCTAGTAAGCAGAACCAACACTGAAGTCAGGGCTCTTATGACACCAGTCCAGTGCTGTTTTGAGGAAGGAAAAGAGAGAAAATGAGCTCTCGATTAGATGGAGGTAATAGGGGAAGTCTTTTTGAAGAAAGTAAAATATGGGGTTTTATAAGAAGCAATCAGCAGATGTGGTTGAGGTAAGGGGGCCTTATAAGCAGGAAAGGTCCCAAGAGTAATTACTTTTGACATATTGGGCCCCCAAGCTAGGCCAGTGATTCCTGACTGAGCTGTCTAACATAATCACCTGGGGAACTTTTTAAAGCTTACCTGTTGCTTCCCCTCCTCCCCCACACCCCGAGATTCTGAGTCAGTAGATTTTAGGTGCCCACTTGTGTTATTTATATATCTCTATATGTAATTCTGATGTATAGCTGCTGTTGTGAACCACTAGGATAGTGTCTGGAGGGTCAGTTACCTAGATAGAGTGGTTTAGGGGTCCTTATTGTGGAGAAATGAGTTAGGTAGATGAAATTGGGAAGGGGGAGAGGATCCAAAGTAGGTAATGGTATTATATGAGTTCCTGAGTGGAAACTTTTGATGATAAGTAAACCCTGCAGCTCTCTAAGCAGGAAAGTAGGATGTTTTAAGCCCCATGTGGATGCTGATAACTTTGAGTCAGGACTCAGTACACATTCCCTTTCTAAATCCAGTCTCTACTCATCAATCTAAACAGGATTATGTCAGTCCCCTCAATTAATACACTCTCATTACATCTTTACCTTAAAATGTTCCTGTGGCTGTGGCCCCTGTGACTCAGTGCTTGCAGTGTCAGCTCAAGCACTGAAGGGTCATGGAGTTGATTCCTGATAAAGGGCATGTAACTCAGTTGCAGGTTTGCTCCCTGCCCCTGTTTGGGGTGTATGTGGGAAGCAGCCAATCAATCACTCTCTCTCTCTCTCTCTCTCTCTCTCTCTCTCTCTCTCTCTCTCTCTCCTCTTTCTCTTCCTCCCCCTTAACTCCACCCCTTACCCCCGCTTTTACTCTGAAAAGCAATAGAAAAAAATAGCGTTGGGTGAGCATTAACAACAACAATGTTTCTGTGGTTTCAGATTCATCACCTTCCCCCTTTGCTTCTGAGTCTGGTTTTTTTATCTTATTTTTGCCCTCTCTCTGCTTGCAGAAATGTTACAAAAACTGGACACTCACTTTCAGAGTCTTTACTAGGGGCCCAGTTCACAAATTTGTGCACCTTGAAAGGAACTGTGGACCACAAGGCTGCAGTGGGAACAGGGATTGGTCTCAGCTCATCCTCCACACCCCAGCCCGGCCTCTCCCACCACAGCCCCACCCCCATCTGCTGCTGGCAACCCTGCTCCTGCCTCCTTTCCACATGCTGATGGTGCCAGCAATGGGTGTGAGCAGTGGCTGCTGCCGTGATGGCCCCTCAGGAGCATAAACTCATATAATGGTATTGTATGAGTTCCTCTCAGGAACTCATATAATACCATTACCTGCTTTGTAACCTGCTGACAGCACTGAGTGATCGGGACCAGTGCCGGGTGCCAGCAGCAGGTGCGAGCAGCAGCTCCAGTGCTGGCAGCAGGTGTGAGCATTGGGTGGGACTGTGGCACACAGGAGCAAAGAATTTTCAGTAACCACCAGAGGCTCACCCCAATGACAGCAACAGGTTCTCCACCTTGTTCTGGTGCCCCTGCTCACCAGCTCTACCATTCTGCCACTGCCAAGGCCCGCCCATGTTCCACACACACCCCATTGGTGATCATAGCAACCAGTTGTTCAGTTGTTCCCCCATTCAGTCTATTTGCACATTAGGCTTTTATTATATAGGAGGATTTTCAATCTGCCAGACCAGGTTATCTATTCCTGTGCTAGTCAGTCCTGAGCTCTGTCTGATGGGTGCCAAGCTGTATCCTGACCTGTGTGGGGTACCTTGGAGGGAGAAGACAAGACCCAGAACCTCAAGAAGTTCCCAGTTTAATAAAGGAGACAAGATACACACATGAAGACAGTGGGAGTACAGTTACAAGGCAGCAGGTCTGATAATTACATTAGAAATATAAAGCATTAGCGACCCAACCAAGTCCTCAGCCCCTCCTCCAAGTTCCCTTGGCCCAGAACTTCCCTGAGTCTCCTTTGACCTCATTTAGTATTTCTCTTCTATCTATTTCCTATTGGCTTCTTTATAGCATCAACAGGAAGGCCAGAGTCAAGGTGTGGTGTCAAAGCTTAAAGCAAGATTGCTTTAGGATTCTCTGCTTCAGTCTGATCATCCTCAAATTCCGACCACCTCACAAGGACTGAATTCATAATAGCCACCCTGCTTTCAAAGCATGGTCTGATAGTACTTCTATTCCTAACCATTTCTTTTTTGATCAGGGAGCTGTGTTCTGTTGGGAAGGAAAATTCAATCAAGCCGAAACCGGTTTGGTTCAGTGGATAGAGCGTCGGTCTGCAGACTGAAAGGTCACAGGTTCGATTCCAGTCAAGGACATGTACGTTGGTTGAGGGCACATCCCTGGCAGAAGGTGTGCAGGAGGCAGCTGGTCGATGTTTCTCTCTCATCGATGTTTCTAGCTCTCTATCCCTCTTCCTTCCTCTCTGTGGAAAATATATATATATTGTACCAGTTAATAATGCAGATTAAAAAAAAAATTCAATCAAGAAGAAATATCCAGCTGGTGAGAGAGATTCCTATAGTCTCAGTAATGGATTGGTCTAAAGATTCCTGAATCCAGAACCCTCATCCTCTCCCTCTCCCAGCCTGCTCAACCCATATGTAGCCCCCAGCACCTCTGAAGGTCCAGGCACATCCCTAGTCTGTGGTGAAGTCAGAACTTGGTCCTCCTTCTGCTTGACTCACACCCCTGTTCCCACTTGTCATCTCCATTATCTCTCTGCCTCTGCGTCCCAACAGAGAGGAGCCCTGATTCCGCAGCATCTGAAGCCCCTTTCCGACGGTTCTGCGCACATCTGAAGAAGAGAAGTAGAAAAGCAGGGGGTCCAGACTGGCGTTGAGGGAACTGAATACCACAGCTTCTGCTCGCCATTTGGGACTTTTCTTGGTGTAAAATCCCACCAGGTGGGACACGTTATAAGGCCCAAAGCACACCAAGAAATTGAGGAGTGTCACAACAGCCAGCCCCACAGCCCGGCGCCGCCTCTGGACCCCGACATGGGGCTGGGTGAGCATGATCCACACAAAGCGCCAGTAGCAGAAGATGGTGACCCCCATGGGGATGAAGAAGAGGACCAGGCACAGCTCCAGCCGCACAGGAATCACCACCGTCAGCTGGTCATCGGTGAAGTTCTCATAGCAGGTAATTTCATTTGTATTTGTGCCACTCTCGGTCGAGTTCAAGTACTGAACGATGATCACGATGGTGCAGTGACCAAAAGACATGATCCAGGCGACCAGAGCAGCAATCACTCCATACATAGGCCGGCGGGACAGCTTGTACTGCACGGGGAAAGCCACTCCCAGGTAGCGCTCGATGCTGATGCCTGCCAGGAGCCACGTGCTGCAGTAGATGCTGCTGTAGAAGCCGAATCCTGTGAGGGCACAGACAATCTCAGGCAGGTACCAGTGGAAGTCAGATGCAGCCTCAATGATCTTGAAGGGCAGCAGCAGCAGCAGCAGAAGGTCTGCCAGCGTCAGGCTGAGCAGGAGGATGTGGACCGGTGCAGGGTGGGGCTGGCGGACCCGACCAATGAAGGCCCTCAGGGCCAGGAGGTTTGCAGGAAGACCAGTAAGGAAGATGATGATGTAGGCCGAGAGAATCAAGGAGCTCTTCAAGTTTGGCATGACTGTTCTGGAAGAGGAGGAGAAAGGGCAGGGTCAGGAGTCCCCACTCACAGCCTGTAGACCTGCCTCCGGTTCAGGATGAGGACATTCTCTCGGGCAGCTCCTCTTCCCAGGCCCAGGCTTTCTGCTGCCACCACTGCTTGCTCACAACACCTGCTAGAACTGCCCAGAGCAATTATTGACTTTTCCTGGGGCGGGATATTAACTGCGAGTTATTACGTTTGCCATCATGTGTCTCTGGTGGAGACCAACCCTTGGCTTCCCAAGGGAATTCCCCTCTGATTTCCCAGCCTTTCTCCTGCTCTTCTCACAGATACAGGAAGTTACTGATATCAGTTTCCAACTTTCCTTAAGTCCCTTCCTCAGTCAGAGATCTTCAGAGAGAAGAGAAAAGCCTTCCCACAGAGAGAATGCTGTGAGCTCCAGTCCCCACCCAGGGCTCATTTGCCACACAACCACCCACACACCAAGGAAGCAGGTGCCCAGTCCCCAACCCATCTCCCTACCTTGTTTTCCTCTCCTTTTGCAGAACACAGATTCTCCTCCACTGTTTCCTCCTCTGTCAATACCAGACTCTGGGACTGTACTAAAAAAGGAAGCTAGTTAAGTGTGGGGGTGGGGGAAGAAGGAGGAACAGTGAACCAGCATTATTTTGGGGGACTTGTCCCCCAGAAAGTTAGAAAATATTCAGGAAAACCTGCAGGCAGTCACAGACTCATGAGCCTGGAGTTTTGACTATAAATAGAAGAACTCTTCTTACAGGGGTAATTCAGTTTCCACATGGTTGTGATCCTCACCACCCACACAGTCTGGCCCCTCCATCCTCTTCCAGGCTTGATGTCCCAGGCCTGTTTCCTTGCCCCAACACTGGCTCCTGTCTCCTTATATTCAATTCTGACAGATCTCCTCCAGCTCAATACCATCTCCTCCCAAGTTTGATCCTGCCATCACTTCCCAGAGCTCAAGCACTAAGTTAGCTGCCTTGCCTTGTCTTCGTTCCGGATAGATGGCTTCTTGGAAAAGAAAGTCTAAAAGCTGCTGGGAAGGAGAAACAGAGCTTCAGCCACTGCTACCGCCCATTTCACACAGGAAAATATTGTAAGGAACCTGGCTGCTAGAAAGCTTTTATACCAGCACAAGTCATGTGACCAGAGAGAGGAAGGTCAGTAATTGAGCACTGTCTCCTCTCCAATCCAAAGGAAAAGGTGCCTGCATCTTTCGTCTCACCCTCACTCAGACTTCCAAACCCAATTCCTGAATTTGTCTTCAGTCCTAGGCATTTTTTCCATTTCCCAAATCAGAGTTTCTTCTTTTTATCTAAGCAATTTCTCCTGTAATTCTATTCATCCTCAGAAAAGAGGATTTCTGCTTCCTTTTATACTCCAACTAGAAGCCTGATGCACGAAATTCGCACATGAGTAGTGTCCCTCGGCCTGGCTAGTGATCAGGGCTGATCGGGGGCCTTCTGGCTGCTAGCCGGGGCCTCCCTTCCCCTGCTGCCCGCTGCCAGCAAGGGTCTTCCTTCATTCTGTGCTGCCTCCTGGTGGTCAGTGCACATCATAGCGAGTGATCAAACTCCTGGTCTCCCAGTCCAACTCTTCACAAGGAGACAATTCATTGTGGCTTTGGGGCAGATCAATTTTCTGAACATTAGTTTCCATTTTAGTCAAGTGAGTTCAGGAATACCAGGATTTCTGTGAGGAGTCAGTGAAGTAGCACATGTGAAGCATTTGGGCTAGTGCTTAGCACTTCGTAGATGCTCTTAGGTGGAAGTGCTCCCTCCTTTGAAGCCTGTTGGACAGCTTTGGAGAGAGTGAGTCACTTGATAAAATATTCAAAGGCTGAGGACACAGACCTGCCATCTGACTTGGGAAAGTGTCAGGGATGCAGTGGGCCCAAGGTGCCTGTGTGGCATTTCTAGGGGAATGGAAGTCAGGCTCCATTCCTTTTCACCACACATTCTCTCCCCGTGTACTGGGCCAACCTCTGAACCACCTGTTCTCTTCTCACTGTGTCCACCTGTATAGCTACCTAGCTACCACTGAAACACATGCCTGAGGAAACAAAGAGTCAGAACATGTTTCCTTTTTGACCTAAGGAATGGGTCTCTGTTTTGCCATCTGTGGCCTGATCCCTACTCACAGAATCTTAATTCTTTCTCAAGGACCAGAATCTCAATTCTTTCTTATTTCCCATTGCTTGCCCATTCATTCATTTTTTGGCCTAGAATCTCTGTCCAGGTATCTTAATAGTTAACTTTTCTTTCTCTTCAGGTCTCTTCTCCTCTAGAACTAAGGAGTTCTATCTTTTCATTAAATTTCTTCCCTCAGCACAGACATGCACTTCCCAGATAAACAGGGGAACTAAGGAAGAAACCATTCTCTGTTGCTTGCTACTAAATTTATTTGTGTCATTTTGCTTTTATGATTTTCCATAAATATTCATGAGGGCCTGAATTTAAATGCAAAGTGAAAATTTACTGAAAAATTGATGTTGAGGAGTAGAACTGCTTCTTTATTCCTGCCTGTTCTTCCCCACCTCATGCCTTTCTCATGTCACTCTCATGTATAACTATGCTGAAGGCCCCCATTAAACCCCTTCTCCATGTTTATGGTAGTTATGAAGGTAGAACAATAAAGGAAACTTTTGAACTCATTATTCATGATGCTCACCTATGTCACAGGAAAAGGAAATGCAACCTCTCAAGCTGAATTCAAAGGCTGAAATTTCACAAAAGCAGTATCTTTCGCAATTTCTTCAAGTTCAGTTTTCTCTCTTTATCATTATGCTAGGAAGTTGAGCCCATTGCCTAAATGTATAATCACTTTCTCCACTTCTTTATTTCTTAGTCACTGTTTAGTCTACTCTAATCTGGGTAGCATTCCTATTTTTCCATAGGATCTATTCTTTGTCGATATTTTATTATTATTTTACTAGCATTCAACAATTTCTACATCCATTTTGAATTCTTTCCATGAATTCTGATACGTTATGTTCCTCTGGTTTCCCTGCCTTTTCTTTGATCACATCTTAATCCCTTTGCCTCTACATCTTCTAAATGTTGGAGCTCCTTACGACTTGGTTCTAAGTTCTTTACTATACTCATCCATTTCCAGAGCATCAGTTACCATTTTCGTAACACCCAATTTTGAATCTTCATTGTGAGCTGCTGTGAGCATCCTCCTGCCTAGTAGATACTGGGCTTCTGTGAGCTTTCCCCTGCCTAGTAGACACTGTCATTTGGATGTCTTCCAGCATCTCAAATCCAGCGTGTCCAGAGTCAACTTTAGATCTCTACTAAACTAGGGTTGAGTAGCTGTGATGGAGCTGGTCATGGCTATGGTCGAAATCCTGGTAACAGATGGTGGTGGCTTATGCTGAGATTCAGCTAGATTCTCTTTTATATGTTCTTGTAGCATCTTTTCTATTGCTGAGTAGTATTGTTTATGGGTATTTTATTTTATTAATTTATTTATTTTAATCCTCATTCTAGAATATGCTTTTTCAATTGGGGCCAGTGCTGGCAGTGGGTGCGAGCAGTAGCTGCTGCCCTGATTGTCCCTCAGAAGCAGGGGGAAGTGGAAAAGCCCTCAGGTGATTCAGGGCTTGCAGCCACTGCTCATACTTGCTGACGGCGCCGAGTGATTGCTGGCACATGGGAGCAACGAATTTTTAGTAACCACCAAATGCTCACCATGATGTCAGTGACTGGTGCCCCGCCTTGTTCTGGCGCCCCCCTCTCACCTGTTCCACCACCCTGCTGCAGCCAACGCCCACCATGTTCTAATGCTCTGCCACCTGCTGCTGATGCCTGCCATGTTCTGTGCATGCTCCCTAGTGGCCAGCGTATGTCATAGCGACCAGTTGTTCGGTTGTTCCACAATTTGGTCTGTTTGCATATTAGTCTTCTATTATATATATTTTGTATTGATTTCAAAGAGGAAGGGAGAGAGAGAGATAGAAATATCAATGATGACAAAGAATCACTGATTGGCTGTCTCCTGCATTCCCCCACCCACTGGGGACCAAGCTCAAAACCTGGGCATGTGCTTTGACTGGAATTGAACCATGATCTCCTAGTTTATAGGTCATTCACTGAGCCACACAAGCCAGGCAATTTTTAAAAGCTTTTTAATCGAGATTTGTGTAATTAAATTAGCAGATTATTTTTGTTATCAATTCACTGTTATTTATTTTTGTTAATCCTCGCCCAAAGGTATTTTCCATTGATTTTTAGAAAGAGTGGAAGAGAGAGAAATGTCAATGTGAGAGAGACACATCTATCAATTACCTCCCACACTCCTCCAAACCAGGGCCAAGGATTGAAGCCAGGATCGAACCCTCAACCCTTCAATGTTTGGGCTGACACTCAACCACTGAGCAACAATGGCCAGGGCTTCACTGTTATTTTAAACAACTTTTAGCAAATAGGCAATATGTTGGGGGAAAAAACACTAGTAATTTCACTGATATAAATAAATTTTACATACTTACAACTAAAATCTACATATTTAAATCCAAGAGTCACCACTCCTAACCAATGTCCAGCAAATGATTAGTATGTGATCACATCACATTATATGCGATAATTGATTTTGTTGTTTCATGGTGTGACTTTCTACAGCAATTTTTGTTGTTGTTAATCCTCACCTGAGGGCATTTTCCCATTGATTTTTAGAGTAGAAAGGAAGGGAAGAGACAGACAGACACACACATACACACACGCACACTCACACCCCTCCCCCCCTTGTTGGTTGCCTCCCACATGTGTCCTGAGGTGGAGTGTGCCACCCAGGTACTTTTCCTTGACTGGAATTGGCCAATACTCTAGCCACCTAGTCACACTGGCTGGGGCTCTGTAGCAGTTTTAACATGTGCAGGCAGACGTTCCTACATGCACTAAGCCATGCTCCAACTGTGTGCATTTGTTTACTAATGGAGACTGGCAAATGCATGCATTTTCTACATCTATTCAGTATACATTTAAAATGACTGTAATA